ACATTGTTCCTATCTCAACCCATAAGGTTTTTTTCTGATTCTCCTCCCCATCCCTCTGGGGGCAGGGGAGAGTGAGCAAGGAGATGCATGGCACTCAGTTGCCAGCTGGGCTTTAACTATGACAGAAGATGAGAAACAGAAAGCAGGAGAGAATGACCAGTTCCATAAAAACATACGCTAGATATTCAGAAGACAAAAGCGATTCAAATGTGTTACAGCACTGGGAAAGGAGTAAAGGAGGCAGTCAGGACTTTTGCTGTGCCTCTGTATGAATCTATGGCTGCCCTGGGTTTTGAAGACAGTGCAGGTTTGGTTCCCTCATCTCCAAAATGTGTGGATGGGAACTGGAAACAGTTCAGAGATGGACCCATTGCCTAACTCAGCACAAATATTGCTCTGTTTGTGTGTCAGTGTGTGGCTTTCAGACTGATGCTGTATCATAAGAAGCAGATTGAGATGTGTGAGCTTGACAGAAGGAATAAATTGGAGGATTAGCAGATAAAGCTTCAGAGCTGAAGCTCTGAATTTGTACTGCTTCTGACATCTTTAGAGAGTTAGATGTATTTGTGTTCAATGTCAGAGGACTTACCCTTATTTGCTGAAAATAATACTTTTAACACTATTTCTTCAAAATAACTGATATTTTTATGTTTTGAAGTGAGTTCAGGACTATGAGTTGTTTTTTTTTTTTTTTCCCAAAGAGGATTGATGCATATTTTGTGCAGGAGGATTAATGATGTTTCAGCTTATAAGTCAGTATTATCAGTCTTCCTAAAATAAGAACCACTGGAAATTCTTTTCAGTTCTATGCAGGTGCAATGATCTCGGCCTCAGAGAATTGTCTTTTTTTCATTGTAAGTGACGTGCCCTAGGCAGAATTTTCTATCATTAATTATAGTAAAGAAGATATAGACCATCATTTAAAAATTTATATCTGATTATTTGACTTCCTATAACTCATATTTTTCTTCTCTTTGTTCCACCTTTGTCATACTCTTTTTCATTTGGCACAACCATTAAAAATCTCTTATCTTGTTGGCTGTAATTATAGATCTGAAATGTGTGTTGATGTAAGTTACTCTATCTGTTTCTATGACTATGTTTATCTTTATGGTAAGGTTCATTTCAATACACTTATTTTTATGCATTTTTTAGTTTGAATATTGCAGGGTATTGAATGTGTGAAAGGCATGCACAAAGATCTCTTGTTAACTGGGAGTTGTGTGTATTAATTCCTTGGAGGGGTAATTATCCTCTGAATGGCTACTCAAACCCACTCAAGAGGTTAAGATACATCTTGCGTTCTGTGCAAGACAGGCTTTGGTTGTGTGCACAGAATTAGGTGAAATGGAGAGGTCTCATTCAAAAGGTGTATTCAAGCAACTGCTCAAACTCAATTAATAGCAGTAACAATGCAATAGCTTCAGAGTTAGAAAAAAGAGGAAATTCCTGAAGTCTTTAAGGAAAGGAGGTCCCAGCTGACTGGGGCAATATCAAACTGGCAACCTGTCATTAGTGGGGTTCTGCAGGGCTCTGTCTTGGGCCCTGTGCTCTTCAACATCTTCAACAATGACTTGGAACCAGGATTGGAAGGAATACTAAACAAGTTTGCAGACGACACAAAACTGGGAGGAGCTGTTGATGCCCTCCAAGGCAGGGAGGCCAGATTCTGCACCTGGGATGGGGAATGAGATGCTGGAAAACAGTGCATTGGAAAGGGACGTGGGGGTCCTGGTCGATGGCAAGTTGAATATGAGTCAGCAGTGCCCTGGCAGCCAGGAGGACCAACTCTGTCCTGGGGGGTATCAGGCAAAGCATTGCCAGCTGGTTGAGGGAGGTCTCTGTCCTGCTCTGCTCTGCACTGGGGCAGCCTCACCTTGAATATTGTGGCAGTTTTGGACACCCAGCATAAGAAAGATATTAAGCCCTTAGAGAGTGTCCAAAGGAGGGCAACAAAGATGGTGAAGGGCCTTGAGGGGAAGCCATACGAGGAGTGGCTGAGGTCACTTGATCTGTTCTGCCTGGAGAAGAGGAGACTGAGGGGAGACCTCATTGCAGTTAAAACTTCCTCGTGAGGGGAAGACGAGGGACAGGCACTGATCCCTTCTCTCTGGTGACCAGTGACAGCACCCAAGGGAATGGCCTGAAGTTGTGTCAGGGCAGGTTTAGGTTGTATATTAGAAAAACGTTCTTCCCCCAGAGGGTGGTTGGGCACTGGAACAGGCTCCCCCGGGCAGTGGTCACAGCACCAAGCCTGTCAGAGTTCAATAAGCATTTGGACCATATTCTCAGGCACATGGTGTGACTCTTGAGGATGGTGCTGTGCAGGGCTAAGAGCTGGACTTGGAGGTTCTTGTGGGTCCCTTCCAACTCAGTATATTCTGTGTGATTCTGTGAATTTCTGTTTGCAGAGCCTTTGGTAGGTGGGACAATATAGTGTTCCCTGGCCTTGCTGGTTTATAATCTGATAGTGATGGGTGCTTTGTCAAGTGGTAAAACGTGGGATGTGATGCATAAGTATGAATTGCAGCTGCTGAAGTCATACTTCTGCACTGGTGTGCCTCAGGCATAGCTGAAATACTCCAAACTCTCCCAGGATACCATTTTAAGGACATAATTTTCTTTAGGTCTTATGTATTCTATGTATCTATTTATTATTTTTGGATCCAGTTCTCCTATTGAGCACTCCATAGTTGAGGATGACTTAATTTCCCATCACCTCCTTTGATTATTCAGTTGTTCCCATCAACCTTGAAATGCTGTATTAGTAGTCCAGGTCTGTCCCTTTCTATTTGCAAGCAGGGCTGTCACTTTCTCAAGAACTGTTTTAACAACGACAAGAAAAAATCTAAATCTAATACAAATACAAGATAGAGGTTTACTTGCTTATTATGGTTCTTGTAGACTATCCTGTAGGTTAATAAATGCATGAAATTATTTTTCTCATAGGTAGATGATAAATTTTTGCACAATAAGGAGCTATTTTCATAGAATCATAGAACGACTGGAAGGGTAGGAAGGGACCTTGAAGATCATCTAGTCCCAACCCCTTGCCATGTGCAGGGACACCTTCCGCTAGAACAGGTTGCTCAAGACCTTATCCAATCTGGCCTTGAACACTGACAGGGTTGGGGCATCCACAACCTCTCTGAGCAACCTATTCCAGCATCTCACCACCTTCCCAGTAAACAATTTCTTCCTAATACTTAACCTAAATTTCCCATCTTTCAATTTGTACGCATTACTCCTGGTCCTATTACTACAGTTCCTGACAAAGGGTCCCTCTCTCGCTTCCCTTTGTAGGCCCCTTCAGGTACTGGAAGGTTGCTGTGAGGTCTCCAGACAACCTCTCATTCTCCAGGCTGAACAGCCTCAACTTTCTCAGCTTGTCTTTGTAGGGGAGGTGCTCCAGTCCCCTAATCAACTTGGTGGCCCACCTGAGGACTTGCTCCAACAGTTCCATGTCCTTCTTATGTTGCGGGCACCAGAACTGAACACACTACTGCAGGTGGGGTCTCAAAAGAGCAGAAGGGGAGAATCACCTCCTTCAATCTTCTGGCCACGCTCCTTTTGATGCAACCCAGGACTCGACTGGGTTTTTGACACACCTTTTTAAAGGCTGGTGGCCGGAAATGAGCTGGCTCAGTAGATGGCACTCTGTCCTTTGATTTGGCACTGAAGCCACCAATAAAGCACCAAAGGAGCGTAATTATTGGATCCGTCACTGGGACTTCACCGTCTCTGGATGGTGGGAGCGCAGGCAGGGCAGCACTGAGTGACTTTGCCCACCCGACAGGGCCCTTCGCCAGTCACCGCGCCAGCTCCGCGCCTGCCCGCGGCCCATCTCTTTTTCCTATTTATTCCGTGTTTGGCTGATTTCGTGCCCCCCGCGGCAGCTCCCGAGGCCCGGCGGGGCCGGCGGTGCCGGGGCGGGGCCGTGTGGCGGGGCGGGCCGCGGGCGGGCCGTGGGCGGCGGCGCGGCCGGGGCCGCCCGCACTTATTGCGGGCCGGCGCGGCGGCGATGTCCCGGCGGTAGCGCGGAGCGGGACCGCGCGGGGCAAGAGCCCACCGCCATGGGGCGGTCCTCGGGAAGACGTGCGCTCATTTCGTGCTGGTGCTCACTGTCGCTTCGTTCGTGGCGGAGCTGGTGTCCGGCTACCTGGGCAACTCCATCGCGCTGGTGTCCGACTCCTTCAACATGCTCTCGGACCTCATTTCCCTCTGCGTGGGGCTCTCCACGGGGCGCATCGCCGCGCCGCAGCCGCCGCGGGCCCGCGCCACCTACGGCTACAGCCGCGCCGAGGCGGTGGGAGCCTCAGCAACGCCGTCTTCCTCACCGGCCGTCTGCTTCACCATCCTCGTGGACTCCGTCCTGCGCCTCGCCCGGCCCGAGCCCATCGACGACGCCCAGCTGGTGCTTATCGTCGGCACCCTCGGCCTCGCCGTCAACGTCGTGGGGCTCCTCGTCTTTCAGGACTGGGGCGCCTGCTGCCGCGCCGCCCGCCCCGGCCCCGCCGCCGCCGCCGCCGAGCTCCGGGATGTGCCCGGGGCCACGCCGGAGGGGGGGCGGCTGAAGCAGGTGCCTTTCGGCTGCATCTTCGCCTTTCTCTCGTGTCCCTCACCTCTCCGCATCCCTCACCCCCCGCTTCTGCGTCCTTCCCCATTCCATCCCTGCATCTCGTTTGCCCTCGGGACTCGCCGAGCTGTTGGACCCATCCTCTGGGCCCTTTCAGAACCCCAGAGCCACCCGTGGGCCCTGTGGGGTTTTCACTAAGCTCATTCAGACACCCGCCGCCTCTTTCACCTTGTACTTTACACTGGCCTGCTGGGCGTCTCCGCGGGATGGGGGAAGGAGGCGTTGCTCAGAGGGCTGCATAGGAAATGTTCTGGCTTGGTTGTTTTCTTCTTGTCATCTTTGAAAGAAGTTGGTTTTGAGAAGGTTGATGTTTTTTCTGTTTGTAGAACTTATACACAACACAGCGTTTCTTCTTTGAATGCAGGTGATTCACCAAATGACCAAAAAAGCCCTGAAGGGGGGTCTGAGAAGAAAAAAGAGAAAAAGTCTGAAGCCTTGAACATCAGAGGTATGGCATGGGAATATGCTGCTAATGTTATATTAGCTTAAAACACTTTATGATTTGCATTTCAGATTCCTCCCCCTCCCCTTCCCAAATTATCAGTAAGAAAGGGAGTAAAAGCCCAGGACTCTTCTATGTAATTGGACCTGGTTATCTTCGGCAGAAAGGTTTTGGTTGTATGAGATAGTACATGTAGTAACAAAATAGTGTCATGCCGATTTGTCTCTGAGTGTGCTCACATTTTGATTTTTATTCTTTAGAAGAGTGCAGCCAAACATTTTGGAAAGGATACAAACCCTATTGCACTAAGCTCAAGTCAGTAGAGGCTTTACAGGAAGGTAACGCAGGTAGCTATGAGGAGCATCTTTGAGTGTCACAGCTGTAGTAGGTGAGCAGTTTTCAACTTTAAAATGCTTTTCAGCAGAAAACAGAATTTCTTTTAAATCCCGAGGTTGATAATGTTTTGGTGTCAGCACAAGGAAAAAAGTTCTGCAACTGGTACTGCAGCACCGTGGTTTTCCAGGTCCTTGAACTGTGAACCCATTCCTGGAAAAGTCTGAGACAGGATCAGCCCTCTTACGTTGTAATTTGGCAGGTCTCTGGGAATCTGTGGAGCGAAATACTATAGCTACTTCTAGGAATAAATTACCCATGTGTCACTCCCTGTCTGTGTAGGTGTTTCTATGTATACATGTCTATATAGGTACTCTGAGCAGAGCCAAATGCAGATGTCTTTGAATATATGAAACACTGAGTTTGTCCCCAGGGAAAGGGCTGTCAGAAACCTGACAGGATAGTAGTTCAGGCTTCTTATAGTCATGTATCAACATCTGATATTCCTCCAAGGTTGTGTAAATTTGCGTTGTGTGAATTCTGCTTAAGAGATCGACGTGGCAGTCAGGCACTTGGGTTTGCTGGGGTTTTTTTAGTGTGTGTGTGTGTCTGTCTGTCTACCTGTCTTTCAAAAGTGTTTTCAGAGCTACAGAATGCATCTGTAAGGCAAGATGCTTTGGAAAATCAAACCGTGTGCTAGAGCCACAACACTTGCCTGGATGTCTAGAAATCGGTGTCACTGAATATTATGGCATTATAATGGTAAGATTATTGCAGCAGAATAAGAAAACTTATTCTGGGGATGAGGAGAGAAGGATAAGAAATTGCTTTAGAGAAGGCCTTGCTTGCCTGAACCACAGTGCCTGGGTATAATGATGCTGGAAATTTTCAAAAATGTCTAAAGGATAAGGATATTTTAAAACAGTTATTTTAAAATAGCTGTCATCTTTCATTTTTAAAAAGAGAAATTTTTGTAAGTAATACTTTGATATGTAATTTTTACAAAATCAGTCTTTATTGTCCTTACAAATATTCATTGCTTCTGTAGCCAATGCTACAGATATGTGTCTTTAAAATTCTGATTCAACATTTATGTTTTTCTTTTGAAGTTAGTTACATAGCTATACTTACTTTATAATCACTTGGCAAAAAATTCTTATGTTGTAGAATTGGAGCCTCCCTGAAAAACATGGCTGGACAAAATGGATTGTTAGAGGAATGGCTTCCTTGATTTTAAAAGTGGTAGGAACAGGAATCCACAAATTCTGCCTGACAGGATTAATTATTGCAGTGTGAAATTATTCCTTTTACTTCTTGAGCATATGTAGGGTAATTCAGACTTTCCAACACAAGCTGTTGGAAACTGTGATCTTACCATGCTTAACATACCACTACTAATACTTTATTTAGTAAAAATTAATCTTCATTTCTAGCTTATAATCATAGCTTTTGGGGTTTGATAGGGAAATGGGTTCATTTCTGCCTAGACCCTCATTATTGATGTATTACCAGGGTGTACATATTATTGACATTATTAGTGTAACATAAGCATTTTCCAAATTCTGTATTCTCAGCTAATAATTCCTCAAAATTCTGACATACTTACTTTTTTCTTAACTCAAAAGAAGACTTTCTGAAACATTTTCCTGTTCTTTATAAGCTGTTCTCTTTGGTTAGTTGCCTTGGCAATTGCATCCTGCCTGTCCCTCTTGCTAGTGCAATAGTTGATAGCCCATGCTGAATTGAGATTATTTGTAAATGAAAAGAAAACACTGCAACACTGTTAGGAGGAGTAAAACCCTGTGGAAGTCTGCCAAATGGGGCAGAACATGCCTGACTCTAGCAGAAAGAGTCGGACTCACTAGAAGCTTGTACTTTCTTATCTGACCCAAGTGATTTGGAGGAACTCCAGAGGTTGTTGCCTCACACAAATCAAGGTGTGTGTCCAGAACTGTGAAGAAACAGCAGCACAGGCACAATTCTAGGGCTAATCCAGTATCCAGCATCACTGAAGAGTCCAAACTCTTTGCTGTGTTGTTAATGAGTTTTGGGGGGAGCTTTTTACAGCTTCTCTAGCCCAAAGAAGGGATTAAATGGCAGTGAAACACTTCAAAGTACGTGTCACGGGGATGTTAAAAGGTGATTGTTCGTTTTATTCTCTCATAGGTCTCAAATAAAAAGTATTGACAAAGAAATTAACTTCATATATAGAGAGATTCCCTGAACTAGGCATGGGTTGGAATGAAATCTGAGTCTGAATAGTAAAGACTGACAAAAGTGGAGTGGTTCGAGTAGTGATGGGAAGAGGGAAGTTTATGTAAAGTAATAAAAAGACAAAGAAGAAAAAGAGACTTCTTGGATTTTTGTAACTTCATAGCAAGAAAACTACTTTGGTCATTGTAGTTTAAAGGGCAGCTAAACTTGTGCTACTTAAGAGCCTGTTTTGTCTTTGCCTTTTGTGTCTTTGCCTTTTGTGCAAAACAGTATTTAAAGATGTAAAAAGAGGCACCTAGCATTCCTCTCCATTTAGAGTAGTCCAGGCACATACTAAACCATGTGACTGATCTCAAACCAGAGTCTGATTTTTGCTGAGTCTGAGTAGTGTTGGTGCACCAGATTTAATATGACTGGTAATCAAGCTTGTTCTGAAAACTGGAGTTTGAGGGTATTCAAAGCCACAAGGCTGGACTTAGATTTTGCTCAGGTAGTTTTTTAGATTTCAGGAGTGTCATAGAAACTGATGGGGGAGAATAACTGTTACTGGGGGTTATCTGTGGCTCTCTCAGCTTCCAGGGTAGAACTGATAGATTTAGTCATCAATTTTTAATTGAGATTTAATGTGCCAGGATCTCTTAAAAATTTGCAGGCATTGAAGCAAACACATTTTACGTTATCATGGCATTGCAGTTGGACAGAAGTTGCTGGCATACCCTACATGTTTAATAAGGCATCCTACTTAAATAGCTATGCTTCAGATTTAGTGTTTCCCTTGCTGTTTTTTCCTGAAAGTGGTTACTGAAAACTTTGGTTATGATATTAATGCCTGGAATTTTTCATTCTTCATGTCAACTAGAACATACTTGAAAAATGCAGGAGTATTTCCCCCCTACCCCCTAAAAAGCCCAAAACAAAGCAAAGAAACCAAAACCACCCCACTAATGGAAATTGTGCCATTTGTTTCAGGTGTTCTTTTGCATGTTATGGGAGATGCACTTGGATCTGTGGTCGTGGTAGTTACTGCTACTATCTTCTATGTACGTCCTCTGGGGGATGCTGCGTGTAATTGGCAGTGCTACATTGATCCAAGCTTGACAATAGTTATGGTGATCATCATCTTGTCTTCTGCATTCCCACTTATCAAGGAGACCTCAACTATTTTGTTGCAGATGGTCCCCAAAGGTGTTAATATACAAGCACTGAGTAAGTCAAATTTGTTGTTGAAATGCTGTTAATTTTAATGATATATTTCAATGCATATGTTATTTGTGGAATGACAGGTTTGGATTATTTACTCATAATAGCTCCAAATGCTCAAGAACTGTGAGAAATAGTCACATGCCTGTGTCCTAGCAACATGACTCAAATCTCTCTGGATTAGTTAAAGCATGCATTTTGAGAATGTGGTACTCCAACAATACATCAAAAATACCAGGTCTTGAGCTGTTAATGCTTTGTATGGGTTGTTTGTGAAAGAAATGACATTGAGTTACAATATTTCCCAACCCTGTAGTGGCTTCTTCCTAAAGGCTTCCAAAACAGCTTAGAAATTTCCATTAAGGTTGGTTTATTTTGTAACTCTAAGGTGCTGTTCACGCTGGTCAATTGTGGGGTAGCACTAGGTACTTCTGAAATTCCATCATGCTCAGGATGGAAAGAAAGCAGAAGATATGGGGTCTTGATGGAGGAATTGGTGCTCTAACATTTCTTGTATGAACAGTTGGTAAATAGTAAATTGCCTGAGGAAAGGGTGAACCCAAAAGGAGAGGTGGCCTGTTCATGCAGTCATCTGGAGGCTGAACTGAAGGCAGCTGGGAGTAAACATGTTTTATCAAGTATGTCTCTTCTAAAATGATAGTTTGGATACTGCTGCTTTTGGATGGGGTGCCAAATGGGACAGTGGATAATTAGCCAGTACACCAAAGCCTCTAATACCTTTTTCTTATGTCTTCCAGCTGACAGACTAGCTCGTGTACCAGGAGTTAGCAGCCTTCATGAGGTACATGTCTGGGAGCTTGCAAGTGGGAAGAATATTGCCACTCTTCATGTCAAGTGCCAAACCCCTGCCAATTACCAAGACGCTGCTTACAAAATACGGGAGATTTTCCATGAAGCAGGGGTCCATTCTGTGACCATCCAGCCAGAGTATGTTGATCACAAGACCTCCCAGCTACTGTGCAGCTCGCCCTGCATCTCAAAAGCTTGTGACCCTCAGCTGTGCTGCAGTCAGAGGGAGCTCCCCCGGGCTAAAGCTAATGGCTACTCAGAGAAAAACAACAGTTACATTTCTGCAGGGCACAAAGACAATGGTTCAAGTAAAAGTGACATTGAAATCCCAATCGAAGACCCGGCAGCAGAGGACAGCCTGAAAAATTGTGACATTTCTGATGACAAATCACAGGCGAGCAGTACACGGTTTTAGGCAGCTCCCTCTGGTCTGCATCATGTTTTCACAGAACAAACGTATCATGCCTGTGAATGGGGTCACTGGTGGTTGTAGCTGAAGTTGGTGTGGCAAAAAGATTTCTGTGCTTTAGCTGTAAACCAAAATACACCTAAAAGCCCCTTGTATCTGAAATAAGGATTAAGATTTCCACCAAGGCTGTTGCATTCATCTAAGATTTTTCTGATACAGCCTTACCCAGTTTGCCACCAAAATAAGGATGAATTCCTGTTCTTAGAGTGGATGGGGTGTATTGCTCGCTGTCTGCACTGATGTTTGCAGTTCATGGCCAGTGGCACTGGGAATGAAACTCTGTCCTTTCCTGCTGAAGTGAGCTGTTTCTTGAAAGCCTTGTGTCCAGATAATGATTGTACTGGGCTGAAGTACTGTATATTTATGAAGAACTTCAGTAAAGATGCTTTGCTGGTCCTTAAACCCCATTTTTTCATGTTTTACAATAACACTTGTGCTCCTGGCCAGTGGGGTTTGTGAATGAAATTAAGAGTGTCTAAGGGGAAGCACTCAGGAATTTTGACTTGCATTGTTTTCTTGATTGACTCCTGTATTTAGGGACAGAGCAGAAGCTGGTCTTGCTTCTCTAATAGTAATACTGGAGTCCCAGCCTAATTACAGATGAGTGTGCTTGTGAATAGACTGCTTATCATGAAAGCAAATAAATACCTACTGATGTTGTCTGCACTGATTCTAGCAAATGGAAATGTAGGCAGTCATCCAATTAACTTTTATCTTGTTCACCATTATGATTGTACAACTCAGTCTTTTTAAATATTTTTTTCCTTCTGACAACAGAAGTTCTAAGAACCATGGTCTTACTTTATCACTGTGTGGGATGATTGCATTATCTTTAACACTGAGTGTCTGTTGTTATTCATGCTGAATAAATAAGCTAATGTGTTTGTTATAAACAGTTAAAATTCTGCAATTCTATTATTAAGACATAATTTATTAATTAAGACATAATTGTATTAATTAAGGAAGTACCTTTAAGTCTTGTGTGCAGTATTATCACTTAGAGGGAGCTTTAAAAAAAAATTAAACCAGGGAATTGTTCCTAGTTTAGTCTTAATTATTTCTTGTTGTCTACCTTTAAAGGTCTGAGCCCTCCCCTCTGCCCTGCCCTTCCTCCCCCTGCCCAAAGGTGTATCTCAAAGTGAATTTAGTGAAGCAGTTCATTATCTTTTTGCTGCTTGTTCTTTTCTGAAGGCACGCAGGGGTCCTCTAAGGAAAACAAGGTGACATGCTCTGTCACCAGCATTGGGTTTAGGTCAGGTGTGCCCTCCATGTTTCTGGGAGAGGAGATCCACTACCTAATCCACACTGAGTGTAGTGCTCAGCCTCCCTGGCCATTCAGGTCAGATCCAGAAGCTTTCAAATACACTTTGCTTCAAAAGCAGCCTTTCAATGGTCCGTGTGGCCTGGACAGGCTATTTTATCCATTTATTCCTGGGGACACCTTTATAAAATAGTACTGTCTTTACCTCAGTGACACCTTAACAGAAAGAGCAAATTGATTTCATACCTGGGCTGGGACAATACTGGGACCTCCCTGTAAGGCTGGCTTAAAAGCAACCAACTTCACATTAATAAAGATGATTGCATTAATTCAATGAATATTTAAACACACAGCAGGATATTTTGCTGCTTGGAAAATAGTATTTACTGAAACAGTGATTGCAGTCTAAATAGCACATTTCTAGATTTGTAGTTACCCGTCCCTTTTGAACAGATTCTTGGGTGAATTAATATGTTTCATAGCCTTTTATTATAGATTTTTATTATATAAATTAACATTTGTTAATATAATTAAAAGCTTGATCCTCTGGCCTGTTTGCTTCTGTTGGCAGCAGCAGGATCCTGCTTGGCAGTTATTGCACGAATTAATGTAAATCAGGAAACATTGTAAGAATTGCTCTGTCTTTTAAAAGTGTGTGGCATAAAGTAAGACAGCCCTTTCTTCTGTTCTTTTTTTTTCCCCTTATTTTCATCTATGATGGTGTTTAAATGATGAGGTTTAGATGTAAATAACAAATATATTTATAGGGTTTTTGAGAACCAGAATGGAAAGCTCCTAAAATAACAACAAAGCCTAAGGAGAAGTTGCTTCCAGATATCCTCTAAAACAAGCACCCTTTCATAATTATGCATTTGTGTCTTAAATCAGGTAATTTTAAAAAAATATATATATATATTTTATTAAATGTTTGAAAGCTGGAATGGCAGTATTTACTCTGGGATTAAAAAAAAAAACTTGTATGTGTGATGTTGGAGCATTTGACAAAATGGACCGTCTTTATTCTTCTAGTATTTGTTAAAACCATGGTTATGTATTTTCTAAACTTTTGAAAGTGTTGAAGTCTGAAAATACAATGAAGTAACATTCTTAGGCTTTTTTTTTTTCTTGTCTGATTGAATGGACTGTAACTGTTGCCTGTGAATAAATGGGAAAATACCAGGGATTATACAAATCTTCAGGTCTAGAAAAGAAGCAGATTTTAAATTTGCTTTATTAGTTAAGCAAGCAAAACCAACACAGCTATGTTATTTATGAGATGAACATTGCTTTTTTTTTTTTTTTGTGTGTAGGTTTCTGACCAGCATCTTTACCTTCATTTAAGTCCCACAAAAAATATTTTTCCCGTCTCTTTTAAGTGTGTCACAACTAGGCTGTACTGGGTGGCCCCTCTCTAATTCTATAGAAGACTTAATTCCAGTGTGTATGTTGTATTGGCTTATTTCCCTTCAGTTCTTGGCATATCTCTTCTAATTCTCTTGGAGTAGTCTCCCCTCATTTTGAAATACAGTATATTTCAGTATTTGCCTGTATCTATGGGCAGTTGTTTTACATTCAGTTTTGTAGTCCATTTGTAGTCATAAAATCTCTGTTCTGGCCTCTTTAGCTTAATTGCTTTATTTCCCTCCCTGATTGATTGCACTACTGCGTCCTCTTCAAGTACTGCCTTACAATTGTCTCTTTATGGCATCTGGGTTCTCTTGCAGTGGTTGTCCGTTTCTGCCCATCACTGCCTGTAGCAAAGGAAATCTGCTTAAATTATGTTTGACTTTCAACTGGTTGTCCAGCTAATGTGGCCCTCTGACCCATAACCAGTCATACATGTGACCTAGTTGTATGACAATGAAACATTTGGTAACCTTACCAGATCGCTCTGGAGTAAAAATGAAATCTGGAATAAGTTAACATGACCCTGAATGCAAAAGCAAAAGCAGTTTATGGACCTTCATCAGTTGTGTGCCTTTTTCTAAAGTGAATCAATTCTTTGTCACCTTTTCATATGTGCCAAAAATGCCGATTTGATTGTTAATTTTTCCTTCTTTTGTAACTCTCTGAATGCAGGTCTTGCCTTTGTTCTTCAATGTAAAGAAAAATAACTGCTGTTATTTTTAGGAGTATTGCTTTTGTCTTGCCAAGTTTTTAGTTGACTTCATTTTCCTTGTGTTCTTTACAATACTTACTCCAACTCAAAGTTCTGTGGTTTTTTCCTATTAATGTTTTTCTTATTTTGTTTCCTCAATAAAAGCAGGATGGTTTTGCTAGCCTTCTGGTCATGGTGGTGTACCTATAATACAGTTTAAGAATACCTCTTTTATGCACTGGTTAAATTTCTGCACTCCATTCTATTCAAATTCACCCTCTTTCTGGTTTTCCTATGTGACACACCTTATCATTGCAAACCACTTTTTGACCTTTAGTTTTTCCTGTTCTTTCCCTCTTCCATTCCTGATTAATAACACTTACTGTCCTGAATACTCCCTTTTATTCTGAACTTTGAAGGGAATATGCCAGCACCTGAATTTTCCCCAAAGTGAGGTTTACCACCCAAGGTCTATGGATGGCTTGATGTGAGCTATTATGTGAGCTATAAGGACTATTTTGTATCCTGTGATCTGTGTAGAATTGTTGTCTGAGTAGTAGTCATCCTGAGATGTGAACATATGCATTTATATATACTTAAATTCTTTATAAACACTCTACCTGAGTCAACTTTCTAAAAAGGTTGGTTTCTAAACCTGGGAAGGTATAATGAAATCATGGGGGTTCACTGGTCATTCATTAATATCCTGGGGGAAAACTTGGATTGCTAATTAGAAAATAGGTAGAAGATCATTCAAAAGCTATAAACATTCCTGTAAGTTCTACTTACTCTGCTGTACAGTGGAAGCACTTTCTATGTTAAATACTTTATTTGAACAGTGACACCTTGTTGTGAGGATGTTGCTGTACAAGATTGTTACATTTATGGAGTTTTGTTGCTTAAAAGTTTCCTCCAGTTTTTCTGTTCATTATATGATTTAATGTGCCAAGATGTAATTTCCGTGATTGCTGAATCAATGAATTGTAAATCTCACTATGGTTTTATTAACCATTGGTGAAAAATTTAAAGTTTTATGTATAGCTATATTTTTTTCAAAATGAAGTTTGAATGTCTTGTAAATAAAGTGTATTTTTAAATAAACCTGTTGTTCTAAACTTGATGTATATTAGTAATAGAGAGCTTGTGTCATTTTTGGATAATTTTAAGACCTTTGTATGAGTGAAGTCTGTTCTCAACTTGTGAACTTGTTAATGATGCAAATTTTTGCATGTATTTAGAAGAAATGGGAACCAACACTCAAAAGCTTTTCTTCTGCGAGCAGCCTTGCATTTTCTATTTTCAGAGTGAATTTAGAGTCCATAACTCTGAGGTAGCGGACAAGGATCTTGGCTGCATCTGGGTGAGCTCTTTGCAGATGCAGGGGGTGTCTTCCTACTTGGCACTGCTGGGTTGTGCCTGCTCCTTTGGTGTTCTTAGCATCAATATCAAGTATCTACCACCTGTGGTTCTAGGCCGTGTTTGATTCTCCAGTTGTTCATGTACCTACTTATTTCGTTAATCATAGAATGCCTTATCCAACCTGGCCTTGAACACTGCCAGGGTTAGAGCATGCACAACCTCCCTAGGCAAACTGTTCCAGCATCTAACCATCCTCACAGTAAATAATTTCTTCCTAATATCTAACCTAAATTGCCCCTCTTTCAATTTGTACTCATTACTCCTTGTCCTATTACTAAAGTTCCTGACAAAGAGTCCCTCTCCGGCTTTCTTCTAGTCCCCCTTCAGATACTGGAATGTTGCTGTGAGGTCTCCACACAACCTCCCGTTCTTCAGGATGAACCTTTCTCAGCCTGTGTTCAAAGGGAGGTGCTCCAGTCCTCTCATTAACTTTGTGGTTCCCCTCAGAATGTGCTCCAACAGTTTCATATCCTTTTTATATTGGGGGCATCAGAACTGTACACTGCAGGTGGGGTCTCACAAGAGCAGAGTAGAGGTGGAGAATCATGTCCTTCTGGCCACATTCCCTTTGATGCAGCCCAGGATTCCATTAGCTTTCTGGGCTGCAAATGCACATTGCCAGCTCACATTGAGTTTTTCATCAATCATTATCTCCAAATCTTTCTCCACGGGGCTGCTCTCAATCATTTCTCCACTCAACCTGTAGGTGTGTCTGGGATTGCCACGACCCAGGTGTAGGACCTTGCACTTTGCTTTGTTGAACTTCGTGAGGTTTGCATCAGTCCACCTATCAAGCCCATCAAGGTCCCTCTGGATGGCATCCCTTCCCTCCAGTGTGTTGACCACACCACAAAGCTTGGTGTCATCAGCAAATTTGCTCAGTGTGCCCACTGAGATGTGTGCATTTTGCCAGCAAAGATATTGAATAGTATCAGCCCCAGTACTGATCCCTGAGGGACACCACTTGTCACTGGTCTCCATGTGGACAACGAGCCATTGACCACAACTCTTTGTGTGCAGCCATCCAGCCAGTTCTTTCTCCACCACATGGTCCATCCATCAAATCCATGTCTCTTCAACTTGGAGACAAGGATTTTGTATGGGACAGTGTCAAATGCTTTGCATAAGTTCAGGTAGACAATGACAGTTGCTCTGCCTCTATCCACCAATGCTGTAGTCCTGTCATAGAAGGTCATCAAGTTTCTCAGGCATGATTTCCCCTTT